AGGTTGCATTGATTTCTTCTGTGTTAGGCAATTGTTTTTCTCATTTACTTTTACCCTATAGAAGTACCCCTATGGTGTCTGAGCTTTGTCAGGGGTCACCTTTTAAATTAAACCCTTTATATGGGAGTACGTTTCAATATTCTAGACTGGAAACTTCACATAGTCACTCCTCATACATTCTCTAGGGTTTTGCAGAAAAATCATGGTGAAAGACAGCTTTTCTGCTTGCTTCCCTCTATATTTCCTGGTTTTAGTTTTGTTTTCAGTTTTGTGGATTACTTGTTTTCATGTCATTTCATTGATGCATTAATAATATTTTGTATATACAGCTTCATCAGTAGTTTGATTCAAGATATCTAATCAACTAAATTTCTAGAATCAAAATGCTATGTTGACATCTTATTAACATATGACACTTACATGGAAACATATATCGGTATAGCATAAATATATAGCTTTATGAATTTTTTATGAATTTAATACATCCTTGGACCAATATTTAAATTCACTGAGAAAACACCAACAATATTAAAAAAGCTCTCTTGGGCCAGTCACTAGTTTTCCAAGGGTCAATATTATTGTGAGTTTTAATTTCAATGGTTAGTTTTCTGTGTTTTTTTTTTTTTAATTTAAGTAACTATAATCCTTCTGTATGTAATCTGTTTCTAGTTTCTTTCGTTCTCTAACACATTGGTGAGATTCAACCATATTGTGTACAATGTAATTAATTAATTTATTCTCATTGCTGTACAGTATTTCATTAAATATATCAGAATTTATTTAAACATTCTACTGCTGATTCTACCAAGATGACAGAGACCAGGGTGGCACCTGGAATGAAGAAACAAGAACAGTAATATTTAGTGGCTTCCAGTTGTAAACTGTTTGGATGGTGCTGGTGAGAAAATTCTAGTATGAATCTTTTAGCTAACATTTCCATTGGGTATAGACCTAAGAGTGGTAAATAGACTTTAATTTAAAAATACACATGTAACATTTTTTAAAGGCAAAGTGTCTAAGGAAAAAAATTACAGGTCAATTCCTCAATGTACAAGTTGAACTAATTCTTTTTAAAGAACAGCATAATGTTTCATAGGGTGAATTTTTAATAAATTGTTCATTCATTCTTATCTCAATATCTATTTCAATGCTTTCAGGGTTTCATGGCAGACTACCTTAGGGCCACTCAGAAGAGAAACCTAGAAGAAAATCAAACTCAAGGAAAAGTAGAAATAAAAATGACAAGGGAGTTAAAGACAGAGCTAATAGTATGGCATTTGATCAGAGAGAGTAGGTAGAATCAACTCATGTTTTGAGGAAAGCATTGGGAATTATAGAAAGTAAACAAAAACTTATGGGGTAAAATCAAAAGAAAAGAGCATATAGAAAACTTGCAACACAGGAAACTTGAGATTTGATCAGTTTTTTTTTTTTTTTTTTTTTTGTCAAGCTGTTGAGAAATTATCCTAGGGACTTCCTTTCTTCCCCTCATTTGCCTTTCCTGTCCATCCATCCAGTGGGCATTATGGAGCACCTGATTGTGACCTAGTGAAATGGAGAACTGAAAGAATAAAGCACAGTTTGGAGCCTATGCATCCTCTACTTTGGGGAATTGCAATGAAACCCTTAAATACTACAAGAAGTATTCTGTCCCCTTCACTACTGAATCCACCCTCTCCTGGAAGGTAGTGTGGGTGCTGTTTTATAATAGGGGAACAAATCTTTACAATGGTGCCCTCCTACAGCCAATTTGGGCTGGAGACACCTTCTCCTTGGGTACTTAGCAAATAGGGACAAGGGCAAATAGAGGGATGGTGAAGCTGGGGAATTCATGGGGGCCACACAAGTGTCCTCCCGGCCTTTGGGACCAGCCATAAAAAGGCTCAGGTGGCTTTCTCCAGGTTATATTCTTGAGCTCACCAAGCTAGACACAAATGAGATTCAAGACAAGACCTAGTCAGGCATGAAGCCAGGTCATGGCTCCAAGGTCAGACGTTGAATCACACCCTTGGTTAAAATGGGTCAGAACTAGGACCAGTCCAAGAAACTCCCACATAGAAAGAAATTCTATTTAGAGCAAAGTCAACCAACTATTTATGATTTTTATTTAGTTTTTTAGTTGATTAAATTACAAAATAGTATATGTAACTATCAAAATGATAATAAGGTATATGAAGAAAAATACTTCAAACTAAACCATCTACAAGGAATACTTCAGATAAATACTTATAAATAATCCATTTATTATCTAAAGTAACTGATTCTAATACTTTGGTATGTAATTTAAAATATTAGAATATATTTTAGTATTAGAATCTACATAATTTTTGTCTTTATACAAGCATATAAAATAATTTAAAATTGTATAAAAATGCATACTCTTACTATAACATTAAGTAAAATATAATGATATATAGGTATGTAACATTTTATATTTAATATACATATATATGCATATATATATATATATATATATATATATATATATATATATATAATGGGAAA